GTGAACCTGTGAGATAAAATCAAACTTTCACTTTTATAATAGTTATAGAAACAATCCTCTTTGCTGATGAAGATTCTCAGTCATCCAGCTCATACTCATTCCGTAAAAATTTAAAAAAAATATCCACTGGACTTGGTTTCCAAGTCATTTGAATTGAGATAGCTTCCTGGAGAGGTGGCGAAACGTCTTCAAATCTTGGACCTTCCCGCTCCAGCCGGTGAACAATACCTCCTTAACATCTGACTCTTAACAATCATAGACAGGTTTCGGGTATTACAGGAGACAACCCCCCCCCTTAACGGCAATCCCCCCCCCTTTAACGACCAACCCTCAGAATCATAGACAGGTTTCAGATATTACAGGCTAACAATGGAACCAAAGGACCCATTCATCGGTTATCATTGCATGTTTACAAGCGATACAAGGCTTTGTCTATATAAGACTCAAACTCACTGCGGCTCCAGACTTTTGAATTGAGAAAGCTTCCTGGAGAGGTGGAGAAACGTCTTCAAATCTTGGAAACCAAGTCCAGTGGGTATTTTTTGAATTTTTACAGAAAAACAATCCTCTTGAATTGCTTGTCTATTTATGACTTTACAGAAAATGGACCCAACTTGGTGAAACTGTTTCACTAAAGGTATAGTGAAGGATTTTGGTGAATTTTTGAAAAGACGCTCCACTCCTCTCCACTTTGACAAAAAAACGCACATGCACAACTCTGTACCCACTCGCGAGAGGGAACCCCTGTTAAACAGGAGCAAGAGCGTGCATGAGCCCATTTCTCCTGGTGCACACTCTGTTTAAAAATTGCTGTTTGCATCGCTCATACAAGCTTACTTTCCAAATGAAGATTAGCAATTTTCCCACTATGTCACCTGAAAATGAGGACGAGCATGTAGGATGGCCTTAAGTAAACATATCACCAGAATGATTAACAATTAGGAAGACCAGTTATTTTGATGATCCACCTGGAAAAAAAAACATCCTCCACTAAACCTTTACTGTTACAAGCTGAAGTTTTAAAGCTTGAGGAAACTGGTTTGTTATTTAAATGATTTACTAAGATATTTTTTGATGTTTTGTGTTTTGCTTACATCAATGTCTTTCTGAGGCTTTTTTCTTCCTGTGAAGGAAAGAAAAATAAAATGATTAACATTAAAAATCTGTAGCTTTGCTCCATTCTGGTCCAGTTTGCTCACCTCTGGTTCTGATGATATCAGCAGTGATTCCAACCATCAGGATCAGTGCTGTGATCTTCAGAGTTAACATGATGAAGCTCAGAGGAGACCAGTCTGGGAAACCTGTGGATGACCTGAAGTGTTCTGAGGAGAAGAAATTTAGCTGTTATTTGAAAGTCTCATAATCTCCCGGATCACTGCTGCCTGGGACATAAGAAGCTGCAGCAGGACTCACGGTGCCCTCCCTGGTAGGGGTGGCAAATATCTTTTTTTAATCAGATATTATTCGGACTGTCATATATCGTTAAAGAACACACACCCTACTAGCTGTGTGTTAGAACAATAAATGAAAGAGTGATTCGAGCACTAATCATGGTGAAACAGATAATTCTGCACATACATGGAATAAATTTACCATAACTTCTGTTCAAAATATAAGAGTTTAACAAAAATCATTCAGCTCCAAGTCATACATATTTCAGTTAAAAACTCTTGACTAAAACTAGTGAACTCCACTAAACTAGACTAGTATGTACAGAGAGGAAGGGGAAACATGATTAAAAACCATATTACAGTTTAAGATGAATTTTGTGTTTGAAACCAAAGTTAATCTAATAATTTGGGATATGATCGAATTAGCTTTTCACTAATTTAGAGCAATTGGAATGTTTTCAGACCAATTCACAAGTAAATATATGAGGTGAATAAAACTTTTTTTTTGCCAAATGATGTTTTATTAAATGATTTGCTTTATCAGGAACCAATAACCTTTAGTTAAATTATTCTTTATCCTCTTTGAAATAGCTAGCAGCGAATAAACATCAGGGTTCCCTAAATGACTCTTGGTCATACTTGGTCATTGAATATGTAATGAGCATATGAGAAAACACATGAACACCAATGTTATATCAGTGTTTAAAAATTAGTGAAATAAAGCTTGTCCACGCTCGAACAGCAGCTCAAAACATAATACTGTAACATAGCGTAGCATGCAGTCCATCATGTTAGCTTTGTCTTTACTCA